TTTTTTTGGTAGAGACGGGGTTTCTCCATGTCTTCCAGGCTGGTCTTGAATTCCTAGGCTCTAGCGACCCTCCTGCTTCATCCTCCCAAGTCCTGGGATTATAGGCATGACCAATTTTTTGGCTTCCTTGAGTCACATTGGAAGAATTGTCTTGGGTGGCACATAAAATACCTAACATTAACAATAGCTGATAAGCAAAAATAAAAATCTCCAAAACAATCTCATAATGCTTTAAGAAAGTCTATAAATTTCTGGTGGGCCACATTCAAAGCTGTCCTGGGCCACATGAGTCCCAGGGGCCGTGGGTTGGACAAGCTTGCTCTAGGGTCTAGGGCAAACCTCATCCTAGTTTGCTCGGGATTTTCTCTGTTTTAGCACCAAAAGTTCTGTGTCCCAAGAGCCCCCTCAGGCCTGGGCAAAGCGAGATGGTTGGTCACCCTAAATGGCTCCCATCTTACTCTCAGTTAAAGCCAACATCTTTACAAAGTCCTACACGGCCCTCCATCCTCTGACCCTCATCACCTTTCTGATCTTGTCCACCATTCCTCATCCCCTCGATCACCCTACCCCCGCCATACTGGCCTCCTTGGAGGTGCTCAAAGCCGCCATTCATGCTCCTACCCCAGGGCCTTTGCACTGACGGCTCCCTCTGCCTAGAGTTCTCTTCCCCAGCTTCTAGGCATGGCTGGTTCCTTCACTTTCTTCAAATCTTTACTTAAATGTCTTTCCCAAGGAGGCCTTCCCCTGCCCACTCTATCTAAAATGCTCTCTGCGCTATTTCCGGTGCCTTCTAGTCCCTTCTATGGCTTATTTTTTCTCCTCCATGCTTTCAGCGACCTAATATCTTTTATAGTTCACTCGCTCCTCTTGTTTACCATTTGCTCCCCCTCCCAACTATAATGTAAATTGCATAAGAACGTGAATTATCTGTCTGTTTTATTTCCGGTGCTAGATAAAGCCTGACACCTACTACGTGTTTTATGGATACATTTCCTTAGCATCAACCTTGAATTGGGTCCTGGACCTCACAGCTGTATAGAGAGAGCACTGAGTAAACAGCGGCAAACCTAAGAGCAGACACAGACCAGCGAGTGGATAAAGAAAATGCGATGTATTTATGCCACGAAATACCACTCGGCCATAAAGAAAGACTGGAATAAAGTCTTGAAGCAACTCAGATGGAGCTGGAGTCCATTATTCTAAGTGAAGTAACTCGGGAGTGGAAAACCAAATATTATATGTTCTCACTTATAAGTGGGAGCCCAGCTGTGAGGACGCATAAACATTAAGAATGATATAACGCCAATCCGGGTGACATGGTGGAAACCTGTCTTTACAAAAAAAAATACAAAAAATTAGCCGGAATTGGTATTATCCACCTGTAGTCCCAGCCACCCGGGAGGCTGAGGTAGGAGAATCACCTGGGCCCGGGAGGTCGAGGCTTCAGTGAGCTGAGATCATGCCAGTGTACTCCAGCCTGGGCAACAGAGTGGGACCCTACCTCAATAAATAAATAAATAGTGATATAATGGACTTTGGGGACTCAGGGTCGGGGAGGGGAGGTTGGGAGGCAAGTGAGGGATAAAAGACCGCATATTAGATACAATGTACACTGCTCGGGTGACAGGTACACTAAAATCTCAGAAATCACCACTAATGAATTTATCCATGTAACCTGAAGCCATCTGTACCCTCAACACCATTGAAATTATATATACATGTATGACTAAAATAATAAAACAATAAAAAATGCCTAAGGACAGAGAGAGGCACAGGTGGGCAGGAGGCTGTGGCAGCATTCCCAGCCCTGCCTGGAAGTCAAGGAAGGCTGACATCTGGAGGAAGGAGGACAATTAGCAAGGTGAAAAGGCAGGTGAGACTAGTGTAAGCCTCTAAGACCAGTGGATGGTCTTTTGAGTGGATGCCCCAAAACGACCTGTGCATGAATGAGCATGTGAATGAATAAATGAGGGCTCCAGGTAGAGATAAAAGCATGCAAGAAAGCCCAGAAGGGAGAAAGACCAGGGTAGGATTGAAGCAGCATCCAGGGCAGAGGCAGGCAAGACAGGTAGGGACCACATCACGCAAGAGCCAGATACAGTAACATCTACAGACATAGCACTGATATTGTGATGGTTAATGTCGAGTGTCAACTTGATTGGATGAAGGAGGCAAAGTTTTGTTCCTGGGAGTGTCTGAGAGCGTGTTGCCAAAGGAGGTTCACATTTGAGTCAGTGGACCGGGAGAGGCAGACCCAGCCTCAGCCTGGGTGGTCACCATCTGCTTCCAGAGCGGCAAGTATTGAGCAAGCAAGAGAAGATGGGAAAGCAGACCTGCTAAGTCTTCCAGCCTTCATCTTTCTCCCATGCTGGATGCTTCCTTCCCTCGAATATCAGACTCCAAGAGATATTAACAGCCATAAGAATAATGACAGCAGCTCACGTTTATGGGGTGCTTACAAAGTGCTAGTACCAATTCAAAGTGCTTTTTCATGCATCTATTTGTTTAATTCTCACATCACCCCTTGCCTTGGCTTTAGTCTTAATGCAGGCTCCCTAGGAAATGCACCTGGGGCAAGATTTAAATGCTCATATGCTCTTGGAAAGGACAGTCTCGGGGCAGAGAGACTCAGGGAGAAGGGAAATGAGGCAGGCAAGATAAGATACAAGGTCAGTCATGCATTACCAAGCTGATTACAGTAGTTGGTTGGCTAATGTGGTCTGCCCCTAGTTAGACTGCAAAGGAGAATTTCCTGTTGTGGTCCAATAGAAGGAGTGGAGAGAGAGTGTAATTCCAGCTCCTTCAAATCTTCTGTTTCCCAGCGCTTAAAGTGCACCCTGCCAGGAGATCCCCTACATAATGTGCATGTGGTAGGAGGAGCCAGGGACCCTGGACTTTGGCTTCAGGTGGTGGGACTTGATGGACATGGACTATGTTGCCATAGCAACAGCTGTGAATCAGGAAGCAATTGAGATTCCAGGAGTTACATGAGACCCAGAGAACCTGAGAAGACTCATGAGATGGATCCAATGTCATCATTGTCCTGACTTTATGGCAGGAAACGGAGGCACAGAGAGGCTACATAGCTTGCCCACCCATACAGCCAGCCTATGGTGAGCTTAACACTACACCGAACAGAATGTGGGCCACTCAGAGTTGCAGAAAAACAAAGAATGTAGATCTAAATCTTTGAGACCAGAACTTGGAGGTGCTGGCAGGATTCTTTAGTGCACCCTAGTTATTTACAACAGACTCAAAGACTGAATTATCCTCCAATCATTTCTCTCCAGCTCTAGGAAGCAGCAAGAATTAGAGGGAAAACACTAGGTTGAAGTCTGCTTCCAAATTACTGTGTGACTTTAGGCAATAGATGCACCTTCTCTGGTCGTGTTTCTGCACATAAAATAATGATGGGGCCAGTGTAATGTTCTGGTACCAGCTGGGCCCTGCCAGTAGTGTTTGCTCCTCAGCCGCAGGGAACACTCTTGCCTGTCCCCATCCATGCCCTCTAAACCCACTCCTGGGTCTTCCACACACAGGCATGGGGCATTAGTCCATGGATCATGAGCCATGATGCCCACAGAGCCCTAAATGAGACACCCAGTGAACCACCAGCAGCAAGAATAATTTCCAGTACTTCCTTTTATTAGGAAAGGACACATTTAAGCTCTAGGGGCCTTTGATGCCAAAAATTGGATTCCCTCAAACATGGGAGAACAGGCTGGGCATCTGTGGAACAATCTTCTTAACCTACCCCACTTTCGAAGTAGGTCTTTTGAGATTGAAGTGAACAATAGGGATGAATGCCTCCTAGGGCCCTGCACTGGCCAGACAACTGGGCCTGGGACTTGAAGGAGATCAGAGTGACTGTCTTAGGAAGAGCATTGAATGAGGAGTCAGGAGCTCTGAACTCAAATCCCAGCTTCTCCATTGCTAACTCGGGTCAGTCACTTGGCCTTGCTGAGCCTCAGCTGCCTCATCTGTAAAATGGGTATAATAATCCTTGTCCTGGTGCTTCTGCTGGCCAGACAGGCTCTAAAGATAGGGTCTCTTCTCCCTCCCCTTATTACTCGAGAAGAAATCAAGACTTGGAGGGGTTTAACAAATCATTTGAGGTTACACAGCTTAAAAAATGGCAAAGCCAGGAGTAAAGCTAAGCCCAGCCCTGGACACTGGTCTGCATTGCCTCCCAGATGGAGCAGGTGGGCCCAGCTTTGTTTAGCCAGACGGAGATGGTGCAGGTGAAGTGATGTGATTCATAGGTCCGTGTTCAGCCAGCTGACCTTATAAGAAAGCACTGTCTACACTGCAAGCTAGGCCAATGGTGTTAGTACCAAGAATGCCTGGGTTTGGAGCTAGAGCCCTGAATTCAAATCCTAGCTCCACTTCTCTGCATTTCTGTCCTCTCTGAGCCTCAATGGCTGGTAAGGGGGGAAGGCATTAACCTTGGGCCTGACACCTTGTTACTTTCTCTCTCCACACTCGCTGATCAATAAAAATTGCTCTTTAATTGGTCAGGGCCAGCCACAAACACTGACTCACTTTACCAAAGGTGAGGCCGCTGTGCTTTAGGGAACTGTATCCTCCAGTGCCCTTCCACCCTTTGCTGCAGGCACCCTTTACACGTAAGCTGAGGATTAAGGGAAAGCCAAGGGCTTTTGGTAAATGCAGCCGTCTTTGCCTACCCTTTGCAGGAAGCCTAAGCAGAAAGACCATAAACTTTAGATTCTAGGAGATGGAAAGAGGGCTAAACAAGCCATTCCAGTGAATCCTACAAGCTGTAGGCATGCACTATGAGCATGATTTTCCCACTGAGCCCAGAATAAGACTATTGGGCCTGCATGCAGCTATTTTACAAGGAGCATTTTGAGTCGTTTTATATTTCTTCTTGCACATATAGGACACATGGATAGGACAGTGGATCCCAACCCTTGTCTCTTAGAAGTGATGCTTGAATATCACCAAGCACAGTGCCTATCTCCTCACAGACACACAAGGAATGGGAGCTATGATGATTCTTAACAAAGGGTGACAGGGTCATTGTGTCACCTTGTCACTGGGGCTGCTGTTTCACATCTGTCACTATGCTCTGAAGGGAGCTGCCCACATTGACAGCTAAATAAGCAGCCAGGTCCAGGGAGTGGGAGTCCAGTCTGAACTGTCCATCACCTTCTAAAGACAGCAGCAGGAGGCTAGCCAGGCCATTAATCACAACCAGAGCCTTCTACGGCTGCATCCGACATCCTTTGACACCTGCCTCTTCTAGCAGCAACAGCAGTCTCCCCTCTCCTGTGCTTCCCATGTGCAACCTTCGGGACTGGGAAAGAATGAAGAGACTTAACTCCCCCTCCTTGAACTCTGCAGAGAGCCAGGGGCCTTGGAACAGGGCTGAGTCTGTGTTGGCCTGGAGAGGGCCTCTGAGGCTTGAGAAACGTACAGTTGGCTTATCTGAGTTCCTTTATCAGGAAACAGACCTTTGGGCCTGATGGATGGTATGAGGGAGATGAGGCTTTCTAGATCACTGCACCCAGACAATGAGACACATTTTCTACCTGTTGACCAACTCCTCCTCCTTGTCCCTTCTGTTCTCCTTCCCTGCTTTATAAACCCCAACTTTAGTTGACTGGGGAGGGAGACAATTTGACAATTAGGCTGATGTGTCACCTCCAATACGGCTTTTCTTCTGGAGAAACATTTGTTGTCTCAGTGATTGGCTTTCTGTGTGGTGAGCAGCCAGACCTACGTTGAACCCCTGGAGTTTGCCAACAAAATTCTGGTTCTCTCATCAGGAATGCATTGCTTATGGCTCAGTGGCCACAGACCAGGAGCATTTCAGAAGCCCTCCCAGCAGCTTCCCAGCCATATTTGGCCAGAGATAGGTTTCAGTCTCCTTCTCTTCTGCCCCACCACTGCCAGCCCCAACTGCATTCCTGATTGCCTAGGAAGAACAGACTTTGAAATTTGACATCTGTATCCAGATAGGAATACCTGACAGCAGGAGACTCTCCTCTCAATTTGGGGTAATTCCAAAGGAATTTCCATTTGTTGCAGGTTGGACAAACCTAACTGACTGGCCTGAGAGTGGAAAGCACCCTGACTGTTTTGGTTTGAACACTCTTGGGCTTGTTATTTGCTACTGCAGTTAGTATTTTGACAATTGTTTGTTACCATAACAAAGCTTTTCCGTCCAGGCGTGGTGGCTCACACCTGTAACCCCAGCACTTTGGGAGGCTGAGGCAGGAGGATCATGAGGTCAAGTGATCAAGATCATCTTGGCCAACATAGTGAAACCCCACCTCTACTAAAAATACAAAAATTAGCCAGGTGTGGTAGTGTGTGCCTACTCAGGAGGCTGAAGCAGAAGAATCACTTGAACCTGGGAGGCGAAGGTTGCCGTGAGCTACAGAACGAGACTTATCACAAAAATAAATAAATAAAAATAAGAAAGATTTTCCTCCCTGGCAATACTTGTGGTCTGTGATATGAGTCACTGGACCTAGGCCAAATCCCTGGTGTTTGGCAAAATATCATCCAGGCACAGGAGAATGATCTGTAGCTGCTGGACTACTGGTTGGACATCAGGCAGTAGGAAACGTATGCATTGTCAAGTGTATTACCTGTCTCCCACAGTAAATCATAAGCTTCACCAAGCCAGGGCCTTTGCCTATCCCATTCTCAGCCGTATCTACAGTGCCTACAACAGTGCCCAGGACACGAGGTGGCATTTGTTAAGTGAATAAATGCTGAGCTCTAAACTCAGCACTGCTATTGAGTACCTTTGGAAAACTCACTTTCTTCTCTGAGACGCACTTTCCCCACCTGGAAAATTACCTTGAGGCTTCCTTCTAGTCCTTATGGTCTAGGGTTCTCTTAAGACCTGGGCACCCTATTAAAAATGGCCTCAGGATATAAAAGCAAGAGCAAACATGTGCAGGAGAGCATTTAATCTACCTGGATTCACGACCACCAACACCCTCACCTTTTAAATAGTTTTGGTTACAATCAGCAGGGATGTCATAGCAACGCACAGCCATACAATTGGAGCCACAGACTTGGGCATCAGGGAGCAAGCAGTGCTCCTGAGACCAAAGAACAATGATGCCACCATTAACTGCAAGCTGACTATCTTCCAATCAATGGGCTAAGTGATTCATGAGCTCTTGGTTCCTTAAAAGGATGCTGGGAAACTTGTACTAGTTTAGACCCATTTTACAGATGAGTAAAGGAGAGGCCAGAAAGTAGGGACATCAGTGAGGTCACACAGAGAGAGAATCTCCAACTTGGGGCATGAGTGGCAGAGCCCAGGCCAGGGGCCAGGCCATGTTGATATCCCAGATAGCAGAAGTGGTAGTGTCACATAGAATTGGATGATGCTTACTACCCTGGGTGCTGGGGGGGGAAGTACAGTCCCTATGTGACATCAGGGCCCACAGTGCAATTTCTAGAGTCATCTTGTAGGAAAGAGGCTCAAAGCTTGGCCAGCATGGTGAAACCTCATCTCTACTAAAAATACAAAAATTAGCCAGGCATGGTGATAGGCGTCTATAAGCCCACCTAGGGAGATGAGGCAGGAGAATTGCTTGAACCCAGGAGGCGGAGGTTGCAGTGAGCCGAGATCACACATTACACTCCAGCCTGGGCAACAAGAGCAAAACTCCAACTCAAAAACAAAAAAAAAAGGAAGAAAGAAAGAGGATGAAGTTGAGTAAGTACTTTCTGCTCCAGGCTGTGCTGGGTTGGGGGAATTGAGAAGCATGGGATGGTTGTCAACTTCTAGCATGTTAAATTGACTTTTAATGAGCATCTTCAGGATTTCTGTTTACTGCTGCATAATGAGGAAGACTTTGCTGTTATTACTTGAAATTAACCTTTTTGGATGCATCACTCACACATCATTGAAGAATAATGACTGCCTTCCTCTTCTATAAAAACGTACTTCATAAAATAAACGTATTATAAATTTTTAACAGGGAACTCACGAGATAATTTCATCTTTATTTTTCTTCATCATACAGCTTGCTCCTGACAGTATATTCATTTTCTTGCTTATTATGTGTCTCCCCAGCCAAGATATTCCCTGTAGAAAGGCAGGGCGACCCGGCCTGCTCACCAGAGCCTGGGTGTGGGGAACGGTGCCAGGAACTCAGAAAGTGCTCAGCAAATATGGGCTGAGTAAATAATATTACTGGCGCATGAAGAGAAGCTCATGGAAACTCAAAGGTTCCAGGCTCTAAAATGCCCAGGAAACATCAAAGGATTTGTTCCCTTTGGCAATGATAATCTGTTCCTCACTTCCAGAATTACCTCTGTTTGGGGACCAAGCTGCGAGCTTGGGATATATGTATCCGATCACGTAGGAATAATAAATTAAATCACCACTTCCTTTTGCATTGTGTGTTTTACGGGATGAATTGTGAGCCCCTAAAATTCATGTGTTGAAGTTCTAACCCCCCAGTACCTTAGAATGTGACAGTATTTGCAGATAGGGCCTTACAAAGGAGTGATTAAAATGAGGTCATCAGGGTAGGCCCTGTTTCATTTTTCATTTTTGAGACGGAGTCTGACCCTGTTGCCCAGGCTGGTGTGCAATGGCGAAATCTCGGCTCATTGCGACCTCCACTTCCTGGGTTCAGTTGATCCTCCTGCCTCGGCCTCCTGAGTAGCTGGGATTACAGGCACCCACCACCACACCCAGCTAATTTTTGTGTATATATATATATATATATATATTTTTTTATTTTTAGTAGAGACAGGGTTTCACCATGTTGGCCTGGCTGGTCTCGAACTCATGAGTGTAGGCCCTGTTTCATTATGACGGCTGTTCTTATAAGAAGAGAACATTTGGACACACAGAGAGACACCAGAGGCACAGCCACATAGAAGAAAGACCACGTGAGGACACAGCAAGAAAGTGACTATCTACAAACCAAGGACAGAGGCCTTAGGAAAACCCACCACTGCTGACACCTTGATTGCAGACTTCCACCCTCCAGAATCACGAGGAAATAAATTTCTGTTGGTTAGGCCACCCAGGCTGTGGGATTTTGTTACAGCATCTCTAGCAAACAAATACAGTATGCTCTACTCTCCCTTTCCCAGGTGTCATTAGAGTCTAGTAACTGTTGTTCCCATTGCTGAGATGAGAAAACTGAGGCCCAGTGAGGGAAGTGACTTGGCTGAGACTCCATGACTCCATGGGTCTCACTGCAGAAACCTTTGGGAGAGCCTGGTGCAAGAGCTTGAGTCTTCTCACATGCCCACCCCATACCTAAGTGTTGGCGAGCTTTTGGGTGGTGCCCCCTCTTTGACAGGGCTTCTGACTCCTCACAGAGGTCCTGGCTGCTTGCCCCACATGCCCCAGCACTCCCTAGTGACACAGGACCCTCCTGTGAATGGCAGGAGGTGGATGGTGGATTCACCAAATGGGACTGTGTCTGCATCAGAGACAACAGGGTTCACTATTCCACCACCTTGCTCCATCAGAGAGGCAGGCAGGTCTCCAGAGATGGCGAGGTCTCCAGAGAGGGACTCCAGTGAATTTCCTTCCTGCCCCATCCTCCTCCCTTGCCCCACTTCTACCCAGAGTCTCTAGTGAGGATGATCAGAGATGAGAGCTCCTCATTTTGGAGTGACCTCTTCCCAGTTATTATTGGTTGAATTGTGTGCCCACTTCCCTAGCCCCACTCAAAAAATATTGGAGTTCTAACCCTCAGTACTTCATAAAGTGACTTAATTTAAAGGTAGGGTCTTTCTGGGGTAACCAAGTTAAAATAAGGTCATTAGGGCCTATTCCATATAGAAAGGGGAAATTTGGATATAGACATGAACAGACATAGGGAGAAGACATCCATCTACCAGCTAAGGAGAGAGGCCCTCACAGCTCTCAGAAGGCGTTTACCCAGCTGACCATGAATTTGGACTTTGACCCTCCAGCTATGGCACTTTGTCACAGCAGCCCTGGCAAACTAACAAAGCAGTGATCTAAATGGGAATTCCCTCCCACGGGTGGGAGCTATGATTGGCTACACCAGAGGGGTCCCAGGGATGGAGACAAATTTGGGGTAGGATATGGAGTCTATGCTAGCGGGAATTTAAATAAAGGCAGCATTTGCTACCTAAATGTGGGCACACATATGCTAGCTTCGCCTTGGTAAAAAGGGAATAAATTCAAGGTTCTTGAATGTTGATGTGGGTGCACATTTGTAGGATGCATATATATCAGTGTGTCACGTGCATTCAGGGTGTGTGGGCTCATTTATTTGTTCATCGGTTCATTCATTCATTCATCATCAGTTTCTTGAATGCTTGTACACACTCATACATACACAGGATACAGAAATAAACTGGCAGAGGAAAATGATAGACAAGTATGGGGATTAAGGGAGCATGGAGGAGGAGCATTTGTTTCAGTTTGATATATCAGGGAAGACTTCCTGGAGGAGGAAGCATGTGAGCTGAAACTGGCCAGGTGAAGAGGAGGAGGAAGGTCATGGCATGTAGACAGGTAGGAAGAGAAACAGCAGCACACACCCCAAACTACACACGGTTTGGGTTGGTTCTATTGTTTGGAACAGTCCTACCCCTACCTGCACTCTATCAGCACTCTGGAATTCCAGGTAGCACAGCCAGAGAGAAGGCACAGATGCCCAGGAGTCAACACTTTATTTTGTTCAGGCTAAGCACACTGGGAGCCCAGCACCCCCGCAGGATATGCCTCTGTGGGCCCGTCTCGCCTCTTGAGGGTGCCCGTGCTGGCTGGCTCTGGACAGAGAGCCACTGGGGAGGCCTGGTCAGTCTCTCTGTCTCCAAGTTATTGTAGAGTCAGGAAGTCGTCAAGGGTGAATGCATCTCAGGAGGCTGGAAGCAAACATAGATCAGAGTTGATGAACAGGACGAAGAACACGTAAGGATTTCTTTTCTTTTCTTGGAGACAGGGTCTCACTTTGTCACCTAGGCTGGAGTGCAGTGCTTCAATCATAGCTCACTGCACCCTCCAACTCCTGGGCTCGAGTGGTCTTCCTGCTTCAGCTTCCTGAGTAGCCAGGATTACATGTGCATGCCACCAAGCCCAACTAATTTCTTATTTTTTATTTCTTGTACAGGTGGGGCCTCACTAGGTTGCCCAGGCTGGTCTCAAACTCCTGGCCTCAAGTGATCCTCCTGCCTCAGCCTCCCTAAAGAACTGGGATTATGAGCACGAGCCACTGTGCCTGCCCAGGAGGATGGGTACATTTTGACGGAGGGAATGAATGGGGTGGAGGGCCTGGAGTTCTGTATACTCAGGTGGTGTTACCGTAGCAACTCCACAGAAAGAGATGGTAGAATGTAGGCAGCAGGAGGAGAACAACTGAAGGAAAAGTTGGGACAGGCTTCCCAAAGGTCCAGAAATTCCAGGTGCAGAGTAACGTGGCATTTACTGCATCCACGGGATGCTATGCTCTATTCTAGAAATCTTTCAGTCTCATGAAACCCACAGCGTTACTTTAGGAAGCTGGTATTCTTACCCCTGTTTTCCAACTGAGGACACTGGGGCTTGGCGAGACTGCATCACTTGCCCAGAGTCCCATGGCTAGTTGTAGGGCAGAACTGACCTTTGGGGGTCTTGCTTAGCTCTAAAGCCCACCATGCATCTGCATCCTTATAGCTGAAAAACTAGCATCCTTGGAGAAGAACCTTGCTCAGGGTAGGGAAGGGGACTTGAGTTTTAAAAGGAATGGCAGAGACAAGATGTTCCGTGATGACTTCTGCTAAGGACTGCTCCTGTCGTGGATATGTGCCCTTTATTGGCCTTTGAAACTGCTTTCTGTGTCCCCGAGAGCATAATAATGTAAATGAATATCAGATCTTTACTCGGTAATTGAGAGCAGAGAGAAGGCCATGTTAAGTCAAATTAGTTTGCTCTGAAATAGCCCAAGCCTGTCTCTGCGGAAGGGGCAATGGCTTTTTGATGGGCTGAGGATGCCTCTCGAAGAAATAGAGGATGTGTGGTTCATTTGGGTCAAGGAGGCCTGAGGGTTGCAGCAAGGCGCACTCTGAGAGCCATGTGCAATTCTTTGACCATCTGAGCTGCAGATGGTTAGGAGCTGCAGCGAGCTCTGAGATTCAGTGACTGGGAAATTTATGAAGACTCGTAGGCTCTCAGGCAGCTCTAATTTCACTCATTGAAGATGCCTGGAATGTATCCCCAGGGGAAAACTTTTATAGATAAATGTAGGGATTCTAGAGTTGGAAACTAGCTCTGCCCTGGTGATTCTATACAAGTGACTTCAGTCTTTCCGATCCTCAGTCTGTCAACCTGGCAAATGGGAATAAATAATATTTGCCACCACTTGGGGATATCAAGAGTACTCAGTGACTGTCTGATGTGTCCATTCAATAAATGTAAGCCTTGGTTAGCAATGAATCCCTCTTCTTACCCTGACTCCAGACAAGTGGCAAGATGGGTGCTAGGCGGGGGAGGAAGGGTGGGGAGTAGTTCTCCCACACTGTTGCTCTGTGATTTTTGTACTTGTTCCCTCCCCCTCAACCTAAGGCCTCAGTTTCTCTCCAGATGTAATGCAAGTGGACGCCGCTATTCTGAAGGTCTCTTCCAACTTGGCCCTTTGCATGTCTGTGATCCCAGCACGGATCTCCCATCATTATGTGGACAGAATGCTACGGCAGCTCCTTCAACCCCAGATGGAAGGACATTAAGAAAATGACAGTAGGGCAGGGAAACTTTAAACATATGGCACCACCTTTTTTTTTTCTGAGATAGAGTTTTGCTCTTGCTGCCCAGGCTGGAGTGCAATGGTGCGCCCTTGGCTCACTGCTATCTCCGCCTCCCGGGTTCCAAGCAATTCTCCTTCCTCAGCTTCCTGAGTAGCTGGGATTACAGGGGTTCACCGAGACATCTGGCTAATTTTTGTATTTTTAGTAGAGACGGGGTTTCACCTGTTGGCCAGTCTGGTCTCGAACTCCTGACCTCAGGTGATCCACCTGCCTTAGCCTCCCAAAGTGCAGGGATTATAGGCATGAGCCACTGCCCCTGGCCACATCTGGAACCTTCTTTAGCATCATCCCACAGGAACCTCTTACTTTCTGATATGTCTGCATTTCAAAGTATAAGGAAATAGGGGTACCCAGCAGAGGGCTTCTGAAAAGCTTTGCATTCAGCAACACGTGACTTCAGCTAAAACCTCTAAAAATCTTGGTCTCTAGAGAAATCTGTTGTGGCATTCAGGCCAGGAGTGGCACCTGCTCTCTCCAAGGCTGCAGGCTTGACTCATTCCCCAAGAACAGCCCCAGCCTGTTGCTTTTACCTGAACTGGTTCCTACTTCTGGAGATATTTTTTCATTATGCTTGCAACGTCATCGTCTTTCCTCCCTGTCCCAGGCTCTCTGAGCTCGGGGGACGTTCGCTCATCACCGTCACCCGCAAGTCGTGGGATTCCTGGTCGACTTTTGATGCTGTCGGCACTTTTGAAGGACACGATGGAGCTGGAGGACGAGGACGAGTCGGACAGGTGAGCAGGATCCTCCTTGGGCTCTGGGCTCTCTTTCAAAATGGTCTTGATCCCTGAGAGAAAGGTACGGTCAGCCTCCTCCGGCTCAAAGTGGACGCCTGAACGCTGCGAACCGCCTTGCCCACCTTTGGCTGCTCCAGCCAAGGATGCAGGCGCCTGGGGCTTCCGGATGGCTGGGAGGAAGTCGTCGAAGTCCACTTTGGTCTTGCGTTCGTAGTTGAGGCTTGGGAGTTTCCAGCTGAACGGGTCACTGCCTAGAGGTTCCTCCATCAGGTGGGCGAACTGGCGGTTCTGGAAAACAAGCGGCTCCTTTCCGAGGTCTGGACCGGCTGCGTCGTCCACAGAGGACTCCAGACACCGCCTCCGAGGACGCAGTACGGGCGACAGCAGCGTGTCCCTGGGTGCAGTCGGGGAGCCCAGTTTTCTCCCCATGCTCGGTCTGGATTCTAAGAGGGACTCACAGGAACTGAATCGGGCCTTCGCCTTCTCAGGGAGCAGGGTTGTGCCCCCAACGCCATCTGAAGGGATGCATTTGAGGCTGGTGGACCTCAAGAGACCACCAGCAGCCCCTTCGATCTCCAGGGGTGATTTCGTCCCAGCCCTGAGAGAGAGGTTTCCCTCGTCACTGCCAGCCCTGCCCCTCCTCAGTGTGGAAGCCCCAGTAGTCTGGTAAATGGGGAGAGTGGGCCAGTCCTCCAGGCCCAGCGTGGACCCGTGGCCTCTCTGGGCTCTCTTCCTCCGGAGCCCTTCCACGAACTCCGAGAGGGCCGCTGAAGGACTGGGCAGCTTTTCCCTGGACAGCGGGGATGTATTTGCACTCCGAGAAGCCAGGGGAGAGGATGCAGCTTCCAGTCTCTCCGTGGACTTTCTCCGGATGGTGAGCCCTTCACCGTCCCCAAGATGACTGTACTTTTGCCGGCGGGCGAAATGGGGAGAAACAGGCTTGTCTTCCGAGGTCTTGCTGCGGACATCGGTGCACCAGCCTCTGCTCAGTGTCGACACCGGCTGGGTCCTCTCAGCATCCCCAGCCTCCTCGTTTATCCTGTGCCAAGAAGAAAAATGCAGTCGGTAGAAACTGCAGTTCATACAGTTTGCGCCATCGGCGTGAGAGCCCCCAAGCACACGCACTAATAGTATTTTTCTTTGGAAACACCATCCCTACCGCACTCTCAAATGAACCATATGATTTAATGTGCGAATTCAAGCCATGTAAATGATTTCTTGTTGCTTTCTGAATGCAATTTCTGTCTGTAATTAAACCCAGCTAAGTACGTCTGAGTAGATTAAAACTGCAGCTAAGACGGATGAGTTAGATTTATGAGGCATCATGTCTGACATGATAGGACCAGAGCTTACTGTGAAATAAGTAGTTTGCTTCTTCAAGACCAGAAGGGGACACGCAGTGGGTGGTTTATTTATTTTAGGCTAAGCCCAGAGGACAGTCCCACCAAGTGCGGCATCTGAGAGTCAAGACCCAAACACGTGTCTCCAAGGGATGCCCCAGGGCATCCCTGGTTGTTTCATGGGGTGCGGGGGTAGGTAAAATCTTGTTTCCCCAAAAGGGAAAGATTCACATGAAATCAACTTGAAACCAAGACTATACACAAGAGGACAGACGGTTTCTATTCTGGGACTACACCAGACGTGGCTTTTATGCAGAGGGAGTTTGTAGCAGCAGCGCCAAAAACACTTTGCCTCTGAAAATCAGGAGCCTCACAGTGGGACCAAATTACAGACTGTAAAATAAATGGCATCACTTAAAGAAGAGAGACTGGAGTCCATCAGCCTCTGCCTTAATAAATACAATCTATTTGCCCTCTCTCTAAAACAAACGACACCCTTCCCACCCACCAGCAAAGTTATAATTTATTTATTTTTATTTTTGAGATGGAGTCTTGCTTTGTCACCAGGCTGGAGGGCAGTGGCGCAATCTCGGCTCACTGCAACCTCTGCCCCCTGGGTTCAAGTGATTCTTCTGCCTCAGCCTTCTGAGGAGCTGGGACCACAGGCACGTGCCACCACGCCTGGCTAATCTTTTTGTATTTTTGGTAGAGACGGGGTTTCACTATGTTGGCCAGGTTGGTCTCGATCCCTTGATCTCGTGATCCGCCCGTCTTGGCCTCCCAAAGGGCTGGGATTACAGGCCCGGCCATAATTTATTTTTTAGAAAAGTAAAAAGGTTGCCAAATGTCAGAGTTATAGCACTGCAGACAAAGCCACTGAGGGCTCGGGTCTGAATAGATGCTGAGGGCGATGCTGATGCGGGTTTCCAATCATGGGGTCTCTGAGTGCTTTCTTGCCGGAACTGCAACAATCAGGACATCTGTGGAATTCCGACCTCTATGTACAAAGGGTGACTGGGGCTCTGCTATCAGACTTTGAGGAAGACTTCTTGCTTACCCAGTGGGATAACACCATCTCCACTCTTGATCACACGGACAGTTGAGGAGAAAAAGAACTGACCCCATGACCCAAGGGGGTTTTGAATCTGGGAAGGAAGCCAAGCCAGAGGTCCCTTGAGGTGATGTCATGGAAGGCACGAGAGGGAAGGGTTGGGCTAGGAGAGGAGCATCTTTCCCAGGGAAATAGGTGGGGATTAAAATAGACTCAATGTTGACACCTAATCCTCAATGTGATGATATTAGCAGGTGGGGATCTAGGGAGGTGATTAGGTCACGAGGGTGGAGCCCTTGTGAATGAGATTAGTGCCCTTATAAAAGAGGCCCCAGAGGGCTCCCTCGCCCCTTCCACTGTGTGAGGACGCAATGAGAAGATGGCCGTCTATGAATCAGACAACAGATCTACCTGCCAGCAGCTTGATCTCAGATTACCCGGCCTCTAGAACTATGAGAAATACATTTCTGTTGTCTATAAGCCCCCCAGTCTATGGCGGTGGTGTTACAGCGCCAGAGGAGATGGAGGCAGGCACCTAGACCCTGCCTTCCCGAGCGCCCCTGAGGACAGAGCTTCAGTGGACCCACAGACCCATGTCCTCCAGGTCTGGCAGGAGCCTCCCAGGCTGGGGCCCTGTGTGAAGTCACCAAGGCAACAATAGGCCTGGCTAAAGGCCTTCATAGACCATAAAGGCTGTGAGCATCTCTTTCTCCTAACTCCCCATGTCAGATGGGTAGAGGAGGGTTCAAATTGCGGTCTGATGATGGTAAGGAGACCCAGGTGTCGAAGTGGCAATTGGAGGAGCTACCCCCCCTCCCACTCTCTCGGACTGTCACCCTCAGTCCTTCTCCTGTGTGATCAGGCTTGCTATTTCTATCCTCTTGCTCACCCTCCTCCTGGATGCTGGTCTCCTGGGACAGACCAAGTCCTCCCTGCTTCTGGGTTTTGCACAAGTGGTTCCCTTTCCCTGGAACACTCCTTCCACTCCCCTACCCCTGGTCCCGGTGCCTTCCTCCTGGGGCGGCTGGGACAGTGAAAGAAAGGACCTTGATACTGTGTCTGCCAGCTAATTACCCAAATAATGGTTATTGGTCATGATGAATAATTTATAACCAATAATGGTTATTAATCATTAATAATTAAAGCCAATCATTATTACTACTATTTAATTCTAAATCCCCAGACCCCAACCCCACACTAGACTCAATAAAAGCCTCAATTGAAGTTCAACGAGGGATGCATGGACGAATGAAGGAGCAGCTGACCTTCTGTCTCACCATGAGAAGAAAGCTTGGTTCCCATGCACTGAAAAAAAAGCTGTGCATTTGCCCAGAACAGCTGCCTCCTTTCCTACTTCTTGCCTGTTCCCATCACAGCTGGACATGGACTGGAAGAGGAGATGGAAGGCTCCTTTGTGATTCCCTGAAGGCGTATTTATCAACATCATTGCTTTGGAATCGCTCCCTGAATACACGGCAAGATGGCATTCACACGCCTGCAATTTTTTCTTCCTTACTTTTTATTAATAAACAGCTTGGAGCTGCCAGGGGCAGTGGGCTGCCAAAGAACTGACAAAAGTCATTTCCATCCTGTCCTGGCCCTGAAAGGGGGCGGGTGTGATGAATGTTTCTCGGATGCTCTGTCTCATCCATCGCCTGACATGTGAGGGGGGCGAGATTGAGGGCTCCTGTCACCGAATCTCCCGGGACTCTGCCATCCTGCTCACCCTAGCTCCCATTGCCACTGCTGGCTGCAGACGCCAGGGCAGGGCATGAGTAAATGAAGAAGTCCCAGGAGGAGGAGAAGAGGGAGGAAGAGGAGGAGCAGGAGGAGGAAGGGGAGGAGGAGGAAGGGGAGGAGGAGGAAGGGGAGGAGGAGGAACCAAAAACAGGAGGATAAAAGGCATATGTGTAGAAAGGAGGAGAAAAGACTACAGGTCTGAACTGACAGTGTCTTGCTGACTCTCATTTCCACACCTCTGGAGTTGGCACCGAGCCCAGCACGTAGTAGATGCCCAGCAAACGCCATTGAATTCAATCAAGGTAGATGAGAAAGAAGAGGTAGTCAGGAAGAGAAAAGTGGAGGAAGCGCAAAGAAATGTGGGAAGAAGAGAATAAGGGTTAGCGCATGAAAGAAGAGGAGGCAGGGTAAACAGGAGAGAAGTTGAAATGAGAATGGGCAGAGGAGGTGGAGAGGAAGAGGAAGGAGACCCAGGGGCCTGTGGCGATGCAGAAAAAGGAAGGAGACTTAGGCAAAGGCAAAAAGGAGAGAGGAGAACGTTGCAGAGGCTTTTCAGGTCGGGAACTAAGGATCTGCCGCCTTTGGCTTTGACCAAAAGGCAAGATAGGCTGGGATCCACGGCGAAGTAGCCTGCTGCCCAGAAATAGGAGCCTGGCGGTCACAGTCTGTGAGGTACAGACTGGTGATCAGGTACAGAGGCCACAGGTGTGCTGGGCCCAAGCCAGGAAGGTTCCCAGCTATGCTGGTACAGGGGGATTTGCACCCGCCTTCCCTGGGGTCCTTGAACAGCAATGCCTTCTGCAAGTCATGGAAGCCGAAATGTCCCACACAGTCACTCAGGCCCAGCCTGGCTGTCACAGGGTCTGATGTCTTGAGATTGGGGTGGGCTGAGTCCCACCTTTCTGGAATGGTCTGGTGCCTCTGAAACCTCAGCTGGTGAGCTTAAAACAGGAATGCAAGCCATGCAGTGTAGACTCCTGGGGGGGCTGGAGAGGAGACGTGGGGGCAGAGTGAGGAGAGAGGGGGAAGAGAGGGCAAGGAGGAAGGAGAGAAAGAAGCTGCCCACGGCCAAGTGCTTCTTCCTGGCTTTCCCATGCAGAAATCCACCTACGTCTCTCTGCAAGTGCTTTTTCTATTTCCTGTCTGAAACCACCTCTCAAGGTATGAAGTTCCTTGCATCCACTCCTTCCTGTGTAGAGACTGAAGAATTTAATCTAAATTCAGATGCCCTTTTGTAGGCTTTAAGATAAGGATCCCAAGCTCTGCTGAGCAAGGCTGGATGATCATTTCCATTTCTGTCTTAGCGCTGGACACTTCAAACACCTCCTGCCTGACTTCATCCTGGGACCAGAAAGAGTCTTCTTAGCTGTTGTCACAGGACCAGGTGGGTGTGACTCAGATGGAACTCTCCATCATCAGCATGATGGAGGGATGTCAGATAATCAGGATGTTACCATGCCTGCTTCCCGGAGCCTGGGCCAGGGAGAGGGATGATGTATAAAAGGCTCTCAGAGTCACTGAGAGACAGAATAGGCAGGGGCACGGTTACTCTTCAAGGCAAAGCTCCAGAAAAGCCTTGAGGACTTCCACTGCCTGCCCCATAGTCTGTCCAAAAAGGAATATCCTTCTGGTATACCTGCTATGGGAAAGAGCCAGAGGATAGTCCTGGAGCATCCGGCCACAAAGACGCCAGGGCTGGTTTTATAACTTAGTGGATGAAAGAGTCATTGGTGACAACAGCTACCACTGGCTAAATACCTACGGTGTGCCAGGTGCTGTGCTGGATACCAGGAATATAGGAGACAGCAAACTGATCCTGCCCTCATAGCAACCCCAAGAGGTAGGGATTATGACCTCCAGGCACAGAGAGGTTGAGTAACCTCTGCAAGCACACACAGCTGGAAACTAAGTCTGGTTTTGCCACTCACTAGCCATGTGACCTGGGATCACTGCCTAACTTCTCAAAGCCTCAGTTTCTTTAGCTGAAAAATGGGGGAAACCAGATTAGCCTTGCAATGCTGTGGAGATAAGAACTCCATGAAGGCAGGATTTTCATCCATTGTGTTCACTGCTACCAGAACAGTGTCTTAGCACACAGTAAGTGCTCAATGAATTTGTGTTGAATAAGTGAGGGAAGCACCAGGGCCCTAGTACATCGTAAGCGCTCCATAAACGTGCTGGATACATGAGTGAATTGCCAGCCCTCAGACTCACAGTAGGTGCTCAATAAAATGTATGTTCAAGTTATGAATCATGTTCCAGTGCTTGCCACATAGTAGGTTCCAATAAATATTGGACTGATGAATTGATGAGTAAGGGCATTTATATGAAAATGCTGTAAGTATGGATGGGTTGCTTCAAGTCATAGAAGTTTTTTAGGTAAATTAAGACATGAAAACTCAGGAATACTGTAATTTCCACTCTTTCTAACCTGCAAGGCTTAAAAACAACCAACCAACAAAACAAACAAAAGCGCTTCAGAAGCAGAGAGACCTGAGTTCAAATCCCAGCTCTGGCTCTGTCTATTCCAACCCAGATTTTTTTTTTTTTTTTCCAGTGGTGCGATCTTGGTTCACTGCAACCTCTGACTCCCAGGTTCATGTGATTCTCTTGTCTCAGCCCCCTGAGCAGCTGGGATTACAGGCCCCTGCCACCATGCCCAGCTAATTTTTATATTTTTAATAGAAACGGCGTTTCACCATGTTGGCCAGGTTTGTCTTGAACTCCTGACGTCAGGTGATCCATCTGCCTCGGCCTCCAAAGTGTTGGGATTACAGGCGTGAGCAACACCACCTGGGCCTCCAGGTATCTTTTGAAGCCTAAACATGCACAGGTGTAAGAGGGGGAATGACGCTGCCCTAGGTCCCAGGGTCCTGTTAGAAATGAGAGATGATGTGTGCCACATGCACATTCAGTATCTAAGAGTGGAGGCTACCCCCAGTACTGCAAGTGAGGCAAAAGACACTACAGTTAAACTTTCATACATGACTTATCTCCAAGTACTACTAATGGTATAACACAAATTTTAAAATCTTAACACTTGTCTGATTGCTTTTCTTTAGTGACCACTTTCATTGGTGCTAGAGAAGTCCCCAAACTGAGGGCAGACATTCAAGAGTAAACAATTCCTATGTATGTGTCTACCGTGAACAGCATGGAGAAGGGAAGGGGAGATTGAAGTGGTTGGTTCAGCCTCAGAACAAGCTAGTGTTGGAGACAGTGTCCTCTGCTTGGATTATACCTTTCCCCCTTTCATAGTATCTTACGAATGGGGCCCCATTGTTTCATCTCCAGTGTTGACCACAGAAGCAGATGCTCTATGAAAATTGATGAAGAGCAAAGAAGAAGGCACCTCCATCTGCGTGTATCACATTCCGCATCTCATCAAGCTAAGCAGCATCGCCCCATCAACATTGGAGGCATCACTCCACCTTGCAGATGAGGAAACTGAGGCTCACTGGTGAGCAATCATTTGCTCAAGGCCACACTGCTCAGTGAACCTTGCTGGGCCAGATCTGAATCCCATTCTTCTTCCACTACATCACACACTCACTGGGCAGAAGGCTGAAGGGAAACCTCAACCAGCTGAACTTACACATATACATTTTTCAAAATCCACTGCGACATAATGAACCAAAAAAAAGTTAGCTCCAGGTCAAGGCGATGCTGGATTTACTGTC